TCTAATCCCTCTCTTTGGTGGCACTTGCATTAAAAATCAGATTAGATGGCACATAATGAGTTGTGTCATATGGCATTGTCGAATTTTTTTTTTTTTTTTTTTTAAATAGAAAGCAAGAATGCCTATTAAAAATCAAATCCAATGGTTGAGGTAACTCCATCACCATTAAAAGCACAAAGACAAGAACATCAACGTCAAGGTTTGTTCTTAGTTGCTAGTTTGTTCTAAATTGCTAATTTGTTCTTAATTAATAATTTTTTCCTAGTTAATAAAAATCAACCTCGATCCAATTACTTCTTGTATTTGTTTAGACAGTTTTGGATTTGCCTTTTGAATTTAATATTGAATAGGGCTATACTTTTTTGTATAATGTCCCTCTAAACATTGAATAAAATTGTATTTTTTGTATAATACCCTTATAAATATTGAATAGACAGTAGACATTAGCATATATATTGGATTGGTCTTTTGAACTCTAATTCTTCATGTCTTTTCCTTTAATGAAAGTTAGTGTTTCTTCTTTTATGAAGGTTAGTGTCTTCATGAAATTATGAATTCTAAATATTGTATAGGCATTATATATTTGACATATATTTTAGTTCCATCTATATAATTAGTAATCTTTCCCTTTTCTTTTCTTGAGATTGGAATGAAAATTGAATCATGAAATGAAATTAGCGTTTAATAAAGTTTTTTAACTAAATAGTTAATTAGTATCAGACTTTGTTAGAGGAAAACAAAGAAAAATATAGAAAATTTTTAATTTTAATTTTAATTTTTTAAAAGTTGGGTTCATCCGATCCAATTTGAGACCCGTGTGAATGGGTCATAAACTTACCTCTTTAACCTGACACCCGAAATGACCAAATCCAAAAAACTCGAGATCCAAGACAAATCAATCTAAACCCACCCAATCCAACCTGTTTGCTAGGTCTAATAAAAGCATATAGTTTTTGTGGCAGGGGAAACTAGTAAGGCTAGGCTTTTGGTTTGGATTGTTTGAATTGAACTGAATTTTTTTTTATTAGCAAACAA